CGAGACCAAGTAGAACTTGCTCTTCCAATTGCTCCATTTTGACGGCTTGTCAAGCGTCATTAGGAACTCCGGATGCGTGGTGAGAGTGTACCACGCATTCCATCCGCTAGGAGCCCGGCTGAGATAATGCATGTGGGCAAACGCCTCCCAGCTAGGCGTAACCTCCTGCATCTCGCAGGCGGCGATGTACCCAAGAATGTTGACCCAGGAGTTGGGCGTCAACTGCCATACTCCCAGGTCATATCCCCTCAAGATAGCCCGGATGGCCCGGTGTAAGGGAAACCGGAGGCCTGCTTTAAATGCTGCCTCGTAGTAGCCGAAGTAGTTGTCCGCATGGGGGATCGAGTCGTCCCAAACGACAGTTGCGTTTGCTGGCGGAACAATCACTTCCCATCCGTCCCCTACCGGATGCTTCGCCAAAAATGCCGGGAAGGTGGCGTTTAGGGTGACCAGGTCCCGGGCGCTGACGGACGCCTCCTGGGGGTTATTTAATGATGGCCATATGTAGGCCTCTTTGTCTTCAATTGGGACATCCGGTACCCCGGCTGATTCTGAGCCGGATGACTGGGCAGGTCCTTCTGCCCCGGAGCTCTCTGGCTCCTCTAATATGTGGTCCCCGGGTGTACTAGGGGTACCCGGTCGGTCGTATGGCATGTCCTCAACCGGAGCATCGGCTGAGTCCCCAGACTGGTACTCTAGGTGAATGGTCGTCCATCTAGTCCGAGCCATCCGGTCCTGCACATTAACAGAGACGGTTGGAATCTCAGAAGATCTAGGGTGGTCCAACGACCCCCAGACGGCACCCCCAGTCCTAGACTCTGCCGTGTCCGGCGACCGGTTGGCTTCGGCTCTAAACCGTGCCGTGTGTGTGTTTGGTGAGTCCATTCACTACCCAAAGACTATGCAACCGGTAAAAGAAGAAAGAATGTACAAGGGGTAGGGACGGTACCTTTTTGTTTAAAATTGAGGAAGATCTTTCAAGGGTGCTGCCTAAAGATGGTCCAGACGGTTACCCGGATGATCTCCCTGCAAATAAGCACCCGAAATGAATGAAATTTGCCCCAAAAGCACCCCAACCGGATACGTCCGGATGGGGGTCTATTGAATAGCAAGCGGCAAAATAAAAATTTGCCCAAAAGCACCCCAGACGGATACGTCCAGATGGGGGTCTATTGAATAGCAAGTGGCAAAATAAAATTTTGCCCAAAAGCACCCCAGACGGATACGTCCGGATGGGGGTCTATTGAATAGCAAGCGGCAAATTAAAAATTTGCCCAAAAGCACCCCAGACGGAAACGTCCGGATGGGGGTCTATTGAATAGCAAGCGGCAAATTAAAAATTTGCCCAAAAGCACCCCAGACGGAAACGTCCGGATGGGGGTCTATTGAAAAGAAAGCAGCAAATTAAAAATTTGCCCAAAAGCACCCCAGACGGATAAGCCTGGATGGGGATCGATTGAGAGCTTTTGAGAAAAATTGGAAGATTAACCAGAGATACTCCAACCGGTTTATACCGGATGGGGGTCGTTTGAAAGCAAAGAAAGAAAACCGGTTGATCAGGCAATTTTGTGAAAAATGAAACACAAGTACCCCAGGCGGTTACTAATCGGATGGGGGTGGTTCAAAAGCAAAAACCCAAAAACCGGGTGAGTAGGCCAAAATAAGAATAAATAGCTAAGTGACGTCTAAGTACCTCAAGCGGTGATGAGCGGCTGTTCAGTACTTTGACGGTTGACTCAGGCGTTCGTAGAGAAGCTTGAATCAAATGTAACCCAGGCGTAATGTCGGTTGATTAGAAAGAAGGTTGACGGTTGTGAATAAAAGCAGCCGGTATCAAAGCTCTTTTTTCTAAGGATTTTTGGAATTTGCAAATGGAGCGAATGATGGGGGGAGGACTTCTTTTATAGAAGTAAGGGGAGACGAAGCGTCACTTCCCCTGTCTCGAATTCAAAAAATTGGAGGGAAAAGACGAACCGTCACCCCCCCCCCATTTTAAAAAAAAGGAGGGAAGGAGACCAAGCGTCCCCTTCCCAGATCGTGACAAATGTCACTATTAAGCTACGTGGCATGCCATGTCACAGATGCCACGTGGCACGCCACGTGTCATCTGTGAGGGGAAAATGTTTAGGGTAATATTACCCAAGCCACGTGGCCCAATCAGATGCTGACACGTGTTAGTCCTAGAAAGGGTCAATGGGAGCCAATCCCAAGCTGACATGTGGCTAATCCTCATTTGACAGGGACACTGTTCCACAACCCTATAAATAGAGGAAAATACCTCTTTTATTGGGTATTCAGAAAATTAAACACAAAAACACAAAAAGCAAACAAGCATTTATTCTCTCTGCATCAGAGAGAAAACCATTTAATTCCCGCACTATTCACTTCGAACGAATTCTAATTTGATCGTCGGAGGCGGAACTCCACCCAACCAAAGTTTCGTTGTTTTGCAGGTACAGTCGGTCAGCAAGCCAGTCTCGAAATTGTAACTCTCCCGCAGGACACAGGAGAAACCCCGAAACACCATCTAATATTACATCGGTTAAATTTTGTTTCACTAAATTAGCAGTATATGTCATTGAGGTTGCATTGTCAAATGTTATAGACATGATTTTTTTCTCAAAGGTTGTATTCATTTATAGCTTCCATTAAATGGTGAGCAATGTTAATATCGGTGTGGGGGTATTCTAGCATTTTGAAATGGATTATTCGTTTTTGTAACAACCATTGATCATCTACCCAATGGAAAGTCACACATAAATATTGATATTTATAACCACTATCCCAAGAATCAATAGTCAAAGACACTCTACAATTAAGTTTACTCAATTCGTCTTGTAACCGCATTTTGTACTCTAGGAAGTTTTCATGGCGGCGAACGAACGGTTTTCCTAGAGATTCTTTTATGTTGGGGTTGTAATGCTTTATGAATGTAAGTACGTGTTAAATGGGTCACTTTCGGAGAAAAGAAAAGGTTGTTCGGCGTGTACTATCATTTTCCCTAATTCATCCCTATCCCTCTCATAGTTGTAGGTAAAGCCGTGTGGATGGAATTGAGAAATTTTTGGCTGGGTTGGATCACTAGATGGTTGTGCACATGTTTTAAAGTGTCTACTTAAGTGTCCCATCTCGGCCTTGGATGTGGCCGAGTATATTTTACTACATGTTTTTACATTTTGCTCTTGTTTGTTCTTTATTTAGCAAAAAATAACTCCATACATCACTTTTGCAACTTTTAATATTTACCATGTCTTGTTCTGTTAACCATTGCTCTTGTGTGTTACGGATCGTGTTTGTAGATTCAGGGGTTTGTTGTTGAGTAGTAGACTCGGAGGCAAGGCTATTTTGTTCGCTACCTTGGCTAGTATAAAAATTTTGTGAGTCAAAGAAATTAGGTGGGAATTGACCGAATTGTGGAAATTGGTTTTGTGGTGGAAATTGGTTTTGTAGAAATTGGGTTTGTGGAAATCCAGGCATATTTATGTTATAGGATTGAAAGCCGGAAGTACCACCATGCCTAAATTGCTCAAACCCTAGGGGGGCGGTTCCAGGGTCATTGGTCGAACTCGAAATTGGGGGGGGGGGGTCATTGCATTAGGTGATTCCCTAGAACTATTACCACGAACAAATTGAGCTTTCCTAGAGGATGATGAGTTGTTCATGTTTGGTGATGCCATAATTAACAAATTAACAATTTTAATAATAACAATAATAATAATTAATAACAACAATTATAACAATAACAATAACAATAATAATAATTAATAACAACAATTATAACAATAACAATAACAATAATAAAATTAATAACAATAATAATAACAACAATAATAAAAATTAGTTAGATCTTACAACTGTGCTTCAACGCTTTCCACTAATTACGATTACAAACTTTTAATTTTTTTCGATATTAATAAATAATAATTAGAGAATATAAGAGATTAAGAGAAGAGATGAGTTGAATTATGATTTAGAAGTGAAGTGAAATTGCTATTTATAGAAAAAAATGGAGAAATAGTCGGTAGAGGGGAAGAAGAGCAACGACTCTAATAGCCGTTTATAGATGATGTAAAACGGCTATAAACAGCGGGCTAGGCCGTGCTGGCACGCGGGCTGTGCCTAGCGGGCCGCTCACGTGCCAAAAAACGGGCCAGCACGGCGGGCTCGTGCCGTGCGGTGCTTGTTTTCTGGCTGGCTTGTATGCGGCCCATGGCACGCCTGGCGACCAGCGTGTCGTGTTGGGCTAGCTGGCGGGCCGTGTCGTGCCACGCCGACCAGCGTGCCGTGCTGGGCTGCCCGCAGGCTGGCACGACCCATATCCAGCTTTAAGGACAACTATGAGATGTGGATGACAAATATGGGATTTTGGATGACAAATATGGGATTTTGGATGACAAAGTACATCTATGAAGAATGTAATTAACAAATCTATTAGACTATTATGTTACTCCATATATATTGAGTATGTATCCATTCAGATTGATTAGAGTTTTATTATAATCACGCCAACTTAAGTTAAGTCATTTTGTTGTTTTGGCTAGGGATACATTTGTGCCAATTGTGGTTCAATTCAAGTTCAAATCAAGTATTGTAAATAACAAGTTTAACAATCCTCACAAACTACAGTAGCAAATTTCACAGTTTGGTGAAATTTCGATTTTTCTGGCTAAATGAACCAATATACGATCGTTGTTTGTATCAAAGACCTACTAAAGCAAAAGATAGAGACCGAGCTTAGTGACACAAGTCTAAGTGTCCAACTAGCCGACCCATAATCAAAGGAAATCCAAGTTTCATAATTTTCCACCAACCCGAATCTTAGTAGTAATTTATAAACATTTTCTTTTTTTGGGAGAATAAATGCAAATTTAGGTTTATTAAAATACGGGAGTACCTTATTTTTTTTACTCCCTCTTGTCCCATATTTTCCATTCAAAACCTCCATTCTTCCTAAACCCTCCTGTAGTAGCTTAAACCTGCAACAGTAACAATCAACAGAAATGTCCAAACCATGCGCTCGCCTCCATAGCTTTTTCACTAAAACTGCAGCAAACACCATTAAACCCAAATTTCCTAAAGTACCAAAAACACGAGAAGTACCAAAAGTACCAAAACCAACAAAAATATCAGAAATCCAAATCCCAATTTTCCCAAAACAACAGCCATTGATTGCCTTAGCTAATAATCAAGTAATTAATAAGGGTGTTAGAGAGCTTTTAGATGAGAGAGACACACAAAAACTAGTTGAAAAATTCAATTTTTTGTCTCCAAATAAGTATTTCAGGCAAAAGTATAAAATTTATGATTATATAATTCATCGACTTGTTCTTGCTAATCAGATTTCTTTAGTTGAAGATACGCTTGAATCCCAGAAAGAATACATTAATGGGGAAGGATTTGCTGCTCGGATTATGTATTTGTATGGGAAAGCTGGGTTGTTTGATCATGCACGCAAGCTGTTCGACGAATTGCCTCAACGAGGTTTAGAACAGAATGCCAAAACTTTTAATGCCCTTTTAGTGGCTGCTTATCATTGTGAGGATTTTGATAAGGTTTATGAGCTGTTTCGTGAGCTGCCATCGAAGTTGTCGATCAAACCGTCGACTGGGTGTTATAATGTGGCTGCTCAGGCGCTGTGCAAGCTCGGGTTGATCGATGAGGCGGTGTCGTTGCTTGACAAGATGGAGCACAATGGGGTGAAACCGTGTGTGATAACGTACAATACGCTGCTTGGTGTGATATATGAGAAGGGGGAGTTTGATGAGGGTGAGAAATTGTGGGAAAGGATGATAAAAAGTGGGGTGGTTCCTAGTGTAATCAGCTATGATTTCAAGCTGCATAGACTTGTCAAAGATGGAAAGATTTCTGAAGCAAGGGAGCTGTTCATGGAGTTGGAAACTAGTGGAATAAAACCCAATGCGGGTTCTTACAATGCTTTGATTCTAGGAGCGTGTAAGAACGATGATCTGGATGAGGTACGAAGATGGTATAACGAGCTCTTGAATGATGGTTGTGCTCCAAACAAGGCTACTTTGAACACCATTATTCCGTTTCTGTGTGATAAGGTTGATTATGGCTTGGTATTTCAGGTGTGCAAGAGGATGTTTAGGCGTCAGTGCACAGTTGATGAGTCTTTGTTGCAGAAGGTGGTTGATGCATTGGCAAAGAACTCGATGATGAAGGAAGCTGAGATCCTTGTGGGACTAGGAAAGTCTAACAGTTATCATCCTTATAATCTTGTATTGCCCCCTACTGGTATTATGGGCTATTTCAGTTCAAGCTTGGTGACTAAATTCATATGTTAACTGTTTTAGCTTATGTAAGGTTCTTTTTTTGGCATTAGTTGCAAGTTTCAAACCTGGGTTTTGAATCTCATTTGTGTCATTAACTCTTTGTGATTTCATATGATCAAAACAAATAGCGGAACAATTTACCTTGTTGATTTAGTAAACCTTGTTGCACATACAAGCATGGCGCTTGTCTTGGATATCAGTCAAGTGCTTCTGTATGGCGCTTGTCATTGATTTGAACACTATAATTTGAATTGAACTCAAACACGAGTGCATCTAACCAAATTTGAACACTGCCCAAATTTAGACAAATTGAAAATAAATCAACATGACAAACAAACTAAATCGAATTGATGCCATCCCGTTCCATCGATAACCATTAATGGCCTAGGGATTTACACTTAAGTCTTAACAGAGTTGATGTGAAAAAAAAGTTAAAGACACAGTTACATTTTCATTTAAACACTTAAACTCCAGTTTTCAGTTAGTTTTAAGCTCTAATTATACTTGTATCCAACTTCCAATTGAAAAACACACTTTTATAAAACACAATGTCAAAATCCAACGTATGCACTCGTCTTCATGGCCTGTTTTCTTCAACTCGAAACGCAGCAAACTCCATTAAATCAAAGACCCCAAAACCCACTGAATTACCACATTCTTCCAAATATCAAGCCATTAATTTGGGTATTAAAGATCTCTTAGATGAGAAAGACCCTACAAAATTGGTACAAAAGTTCAATTTTTTGTCTCAAGAAAAATATTTCAGGCAAAAGCATAAAATTTACGAAAACACAATTCATCGTCTTTCTCTTGCAAAACAGAATACATTAATTGAAGAAGCATTAGAATCCCAGAAAATTTACATTGTTGGAGAACCATTTGCTGCTCGCCTTATTTACTTGTATGGGAAAGCTGGTTTGTTTGATCATGCACGCAAGGTTTTCGACGAATTGCCTCAACGAGGTTGTGTTCAAAATTTCAAATCTTTCAATGCCCTTTTAGGAGCTGCTTCTAATTCAGGGAAATATGATAAGGTTTACGAGCTCTTTCGTGTGTTGCCCTCTAAGTTGACAATTAAACCGAGTGTACATTGTTATAATACAGCTGCTCATGCTCTGTGTAAACTTGGGTTGTTTGATGATGCATTATCATTGCTTGATGAGATGGAGAAAAATGGCTTAAACCCGAGTGTTGTGTCGTATAATACGCTTCTTAGTGCGTTTTATGAGAATAAGGGGTTTGAGGAAGGTGAAAAGATTTGGAAAAGGATGATTGAAAAGGGTGTTGTTCCTGAAGTACTAAGCTATAACTTCAAGGTGCAAAGACTTGTTAATGATGGCAGGGTTTTCGAGGCGATGGGGTTTGTCACAGAGTTAGAAAGTAAAGGACTGAAACCTGATGTGGGTACTTACAATGCTTTGATTCTAGGAGCATGTAAGAATGATGATTTGGATGAAGTTCGACTATGGTATTATGAGCTCTTGAACAGCGGTTGTTCTCCAAACAGGGTTACATTCAACACCGTTGTTCCTTTTCTATGCGACAAGGGCGATTATGGCTTAGCGTATCAAGCGTCCAAGAGGATGTTTAGACATCAGTGCTCAGTTGATGAGTCTTTGTTGCAGAAGGTAGTTGATGGATTGACAAAGAAGTCGATGATGGAGGAAGCGAAGGTCCTTGTCGGACTTGGAAAGTCTAATACTTATTTTCCTTATGATCTTGTATTGCCTACAGGTATTATGCGCTATTTCCTTTGAAGCTTCAGAGTATAAATTTTTTCATGTCTTTGTGTTAAACCAGTTCGGATAAAACTAAGGTTTTAATCAGGCAATAATTAAGAGTATAAGATGTAGACTTAAGGCACGTTTGCGGTTGTATCATTGCCTTTTGTGACTCCTTATGGCCCAAACTAGTAGCAAAAAATCTTTTTATTGATCTTATATGTTTTGTATGATCTTGTGAAGAAGGAATGGCAAGCAACTGCAAAAACATTATGACTGTTACTTGTTAGCACATCTTGTATACTAGTGTGACACATTTGCATATAGTTGTAATCTATGCATCCTGGGTGGTAGTTTGTTACAATATTTGCAATATACTAGTCTTCTTCCTTCTTCACCTGAGTATCTTATTCAAGATTAATATGAATATGTTGACAGCTACTCCATATATTTACAGAACCATAAGGTACATTGATTGGCTAAAGCAGCATAATCTAACGGTTTGTTTGTATAGCAAAGTGGAAGAGAAATCTGATCAACTACAGATGATGCCATGTACTCTGTAACTCTGAACAAAGCTGAAGCCCAAGTATCACAAACAAGAGGAATTGAAATTTCCAAACTTGGATATAGTGACCAATCTAATAGTTTGTTTGGTTAGCAATGTAGAAGAGAAAGGGAAGGGAGGGAAGAAGGGGTAGGAATGGAAGGGGTGGGAGAAGGTGAGGTTACATTTTAACTTTAAATTTTTCCAACACTAGAAGGATTTGGTTTATTAAAAAAGGAGGGAAAATGAATCTTTCCAATTCCCTTCCCTTCCCTCTCCCTTATCTCTTATTAAAAGTTATTCAAATAAGGGAGGATGAATCCCTTCTTTTCTCTTCTCTTCCTTTCCCTCCAATTCTCTCAATCGAAACAATGTTTAATAGCTTGCCTTCATTGGTAACTAGACTTGACAATTCTGACCAGAGCCGCAACCCGAAAATGACAGGAACCTAAACTAACCTAACCTGACCCGTACCCAACCCAACGTGGAGTTGACCCGAATGTGACCCGATGTCCAAATGATCCGACCTAAAATGGACCCGAAACTTAAAGTTGACCCTACCCGAAGTGACCCACCCCGTTTAAACCCGAATTGATTGGCCCGACCCGAAATGACCTGATATTCAAAGAAAATAGGGTGAAATGGTGAACTACCACGTTTTATTTATTTATTTTTAACAAAAATTTACTTTTTTCTTCCCCTAATTATTATAGGAAATTTAAAAACAATAAATCAATCTTTGTCCCGTTCTTCCAAAATGGAGCAATCTTTAAATCTTCTCAAATTAAACCTAAGTTTGCATTTATTCTTCCAAAATGAACCCAAATGACCGATGACCTGTACAACCGGTCATTTTTTAAATTTTCCTTTAATTATCTTTTTTTTTAAATAAAAAACCTTTAATTATCTTTTTCGAATTAACAAAATAATTAAAAATAACTATAAAAAAAAAGACCAATCTCCCCTCACCCTACTGCCAGCCACCCCTTCCTCCACCTCTCCTCCCTTTCCAGCCACCACTCTCCATCCTCCTTCACCTCCCATTTTCGACCATCCCCTCCCTTTCCACTGCATTTTCCGACTACACCCCGCTCCCTATGAAACCCCCAAACTGACAATCCTTAAACCGAAAAAAGTGAGAAATTGATGTAGAAAGAAAGAAGAATTGGAAGATTGAGAAGTTAAGGGTTTTATTAATTTTGTTTTGTATTGAAAAAGAACGAATTAAATTCCGTAAAATTAGTCAGAAAATTGAGATCGAAGAGAGAGAATTAGGAAGAAGAAGAAGAAGATGGATTTGAATGAAGAGGAGGGTTGGGCCGCCAGTGGACCAATGGCGATAATTCTGACGGCGTTAGTTGAAGGTGGAACCCTCTAACGTACTTACACTCGCTTCTCCTCCTCCTTTGGTGCGTAAACGGCCATCAAAGGACCGTCATACGAAGGTTAAAGGTCGAGGTCGAAGGATCCGAATGCCCGCAGCTTGCACCGCTCAGATCTTCCAGCTGCCCAGGAACTCAGACATAAATCTGATGGTGAAACAATCAAATGGTTGAGGTCGCCGGCGCCGGGGGAATTGGTGGGCGCCGGCCGCCGGCCGCCGGTAAGGGAAGGGGTGGCTGGCAGTGGTGGGAAAGGGTGGTTTTGGTTTTTTTTTTTTCTTCTTTTTTTTTAAAAAAAACTATCAAAATTAAAAAATTAAAAACAAAAACCTTGACCAATGATTTAATGACACATGGATTTTTAGCTGATATAACAGGTAAGGTGACCTATTGGGTTCATTTTGGGAGAATAAATGCAAATTTAGGTTTACTTTGAGAAGATTTAAAGGTTGGTCCATTTTGGGAGAATGGGGCAAAGGTTGGTTTGTTGTTAAATTTTCCATTATTATAAACTTTATTTTTGAAATAATAAGGAGCTTTCCCACTATTTTTTTTAATTGAATTTACTTTTAGTGACTCAACCCGAACTTGACCTGACTCGAACTGACCCGACACGAATTTGACTCGACCCAAACTTGACCTTACCCGAAATTAACCCGACAAATGGTATTGAAAGTTAACTCGACACCAAATTTGAACTGACCCGACCCAAATTGACTCAACCCAAACTTGACCCGAGAACTCAACCCAAAGTGTTGACCCGAAATCCAAATTGAACCTAGGGGTGAAAGTAATTCAGATTAAGACCGAACCGAAAACCAAACCAAATTAGTAATTCAGTTTGAATTTTTTTTTAATTCGAATTGGATCCGTTTGGAAATATTAAAAAATATGGATTTTGATTCAGAGTCGGTTTGAGGTTTTAAAAAATTTAAAACCAAAATTTCAACCCATTACATTAAGCCCAATTTTTTTTTTTACAAAGTATCTCAATCCCTTTCCCCTTTCATTTACGTAGTATAAACCAAAAAAAATAAATAAAAAAAATAAACCTAAGTCTCTTTTTTCCTTTCTCAACATCTCACTCTCTAACAAAGAAGGTATTTGACAAGAAAAGGTTGAATGATTGCAGGAATTTTCTCAGTAAAGTCAGATTTTGGGTTTGAATGTTGCGAAAGAAAGGTAAAAATTTCGGTTTGGATAGGAGTTTAATTAGAAAAACCGATTTGGTTTGGATTGGACCGAATCTTAATTCGGTTTGGATTTGGATTGAGAAATCCAAAATCGAATTTGGATTCGGTTTTGGCTATAATCCAAACCGCAAATCGAACTTTCACCCGTAATTGACCCGACTCGACACGAATATTTGCCGACCCGAAATGACCCGACCCGTTTGCCGGGTTATTTGTAACCTTTCTACTCCAATTTTGGTTCCAATTCCGGGTACCCAAAATTTTTGCTCACCCCACTTGATAATATAATAAGTAATAAGTCACAGATTTCACATCCTTACACCTTCATTTGTAATTAGTATTGCCTTTGTGGTTCACTCACACATTATTTAATAAAGAAAAAATATTTGTAGTCCATCCATCCATCCCTCCCCCCCCCCCCCCCCAACCACCCTCTTTTTTTTAGTGTTTAGGATATCCTGTAGTCGGAAGGGAAGCTCTAACCATTTGAGCTATTCCTCATTCTCCCCTCCATCCCTTATTAATGTGTCTATTTCTTATGTTTTCATAGGACTTAATGAATTAATGATTAGAAGTACATAAAGTACAATTGGTGCATGTGTGAACTTGTTACATAGTTTTCATTGTAGAACTTTTTTTTAAAATTTTGCATTTTGTAAATTACCCCACACACACACACACACACACACATATATATATATATATATATATATATATATATATATATATATATATATATATATATATATATATATATATATATATATATATATATATAACCTTAAATTTGAACCTACAAAGCTACCAAATCACGTACCCAATCTCATCAACACATCCACTACAAGAATAAAAGAGTGGCCTTATTTAGGGAATTGGAGTTTTTTCCAACATTATTTAGAAATAGGGCTTAAAAAAGTCCAATGTGTTAATTATTCTAAAATGGTGGAGTTTCTTTAACCGTGGTCTACTGATCTGTGTAGCTTGGATAGAAAGTCTTCCAACATGCAAATTTTCTCCTTTAAATTGTGGTAATGTGTGGGGGGAGGCTACTTTGCATCAATCTCACTCAATTGTTTTATTTTTTTAATTTTTTTGAGGAAAGTATCACTCTATCATAAAGTACGAAGTACTGTATTTGTGACTATTGTAGTATTGTGAGAATTGTGACATCTTTTCAATGCTACTTTATGATCAATCAATTGTGTAAATCCAATACAAAATTGTCCCACCAAATATTCTGATTTACCTTCATGTTTTTTCCGTATTTCATGGGTAGTATTTAATTGAAGAAATTATCTCTCTTTTTTATCTCTCTTGTTATTAGCTATTAAATTCAGTTTAGAAATGATTTTGATTGTACACTATATAAATTATTTTATTGATAGAAATTTATGTGTATGAATGGATTGATTAAGTTTTTTTATTTATTTTTATTTTTTTAAATTTATTTATATATTCCATATATTAGAAAAACACCATCACCTCACTCTTTTGCTTATACTTCATATAATAAAGATATTACTATTAAAAAAATTAATTTATTCTAATAGAAAACAGAATTCGTACGAGCACCTCATTAGTTATTATGCAATATTAATATGGAAGGGATGAAAAATAATTTGAGTGTGTCACATCTTGTAGGGTACGGAATAGTGAACATGTAAATGCATATGCACACGTTTTTTTGCATTATTAAGTACGGAGTACAGTTTTGTTGATAAAACTTTGAGTTGGTAAAGCATTTCTATTGGTGGATTCAAGATTACGCCATAACCAATAGTTCGAAATTATAGTTTAGTTGATAAAGAGTATGATTTATTAGATTACTCCATGTCTCCTTGGAGTTAAGCGATATTGAAACGATTTACTCCAATCTTTTTTATGTGAATTTTTCAAAATATATACTGTAATAAC